CATTCCTGCGGTCAAGTTCAAGCTCAAAGCTCTGAGAGGAGGAGGAGGAGGAGGGAGGAGGAGAAAGAAAGAGGAGGTGGGAGTGTGGATAATCCCCACACCCCAAGAAAGAGGAGTGCGCCCTGCTCCGTGGGAGAGTTTGTCACCTTTTATTAGAATTCAACTAAGCAAATAGAGATGGAGATGGACAGATACATAAAGTAAAAACCTCTTTAATGAGATAAAAGCCCAGTTCACTCTGTTAGCTTTAAAACCTCGTTAAAAAAAGAGAAATAAATAGTGATAAAAACATAAAAAATGTTAAAGACAAAGCATTCAGAAACTGATAGTTTCCTGAGGCGATTTCTAAATCTGAGGATAAATGAATCAATGACTAAGTTTGTTTTACAGTGTTTGTAAAGAGAGGCCTCGTCGAAAGGCACAATAAAAGAAAATATGAGAGACTGTTGTTTTACACATTAATGTATTTAGTATTTTGTTTGTTGAGTTTTATTGTGTCTTTTGACTACGTCTGTGTACTTGTGTGTACTGCTAATGTGTTTAATTAACAGAAAAGTACCTTGATTTACACCGTTGGCTACAAATAAAGCTAATAATAAAAAAAGAAAAGCAAAATGAAGTGTTCATCATCCAGTCGTTGTGTAAACTGATCTGCAGGGATATTTGGTCCTGATCAGTGACACATACAAGAGTTTGGTCAGTTTATATACAACGTTTGAGTCTATTTGGTCCTGATCAGTGACACAAACAAGAGTTTGGTCAGTTTATATACAACATATAATATACAACAAATACATGGAAATACACAAAGTACAATCAGTTACAACTGGTTAATTATCTACTACACACACACACTCTTGTAGTTTTTTTCTTGAAACATTTCAAATCTTTATAGGTGTTAAACCTTGAAAAAAACTCATGAAGTTTTAACAAACTTTTTTTTTTTTTAGTTAGCTCACCAAGACCACCAGCGACGCTTCACACCAGGGGTCTCCAGCTACCCTGGTCAAGGATCACATGGTGTTGGGCTGCAGGGGAACGGCCTAATGAGGGCTTCAAAACTGCCATTCAAAAAGAAAGTTGCATTCAAAAGAAAATGAAATATATATAACATATATATTATCATAGGATTGACAAATGTTTTTGAACATTTTTGGCCATCTTATAAAGATGTAATAATACACTCGTTCAGTTCAAGCTTGTTTACTTATAAACTTATAAAAACAAACAAGTCTGGAGTCTGAATCAATATTTTAATTGAGTAGGTTTAAGTTGTTGACTAAGTCTGTTGACTTTGTCTGTGCTGAATTGTTTGTAGAATATAAATGAAATATTCAGGGATCTTTCTTAGCCAATGAGAAGCTGATCCTCACCTCTGTCATTTATTTCCAGACCAGTCCAACACCATCAGTTTTACCCTGTGCTTTAAGATATTTTTTATTGTTCAAATGCTGCTGTTCATGTACCATCAGTTCTCTGAACTGTCAGAGCCACAGACGTGAACAGATACGTAACCAGACTACACTGCTGTAAACTCAGCAACACTTGAGATTTTCAATGACTCACAATGTGCATGATTAATCAACTCACAGACACAAAACCAAGAAAATGTGGTCGTGGTCTGGTGATATGGGAGATCTTGGCGTATAGAGCAAAGAAATCATTTTTAAAAAGATATAAAACTTTACAAGTACTTACAACTAGAGCAGTGTTTCCCATTTTTTTTTCCTAGGGACCCATATTTTAAAAGTCCCAAACCATGAGCCGAGAAAAGACTAGAACACATTACATCACACACATGTCATGTATACAGTCATATTTGAACAAGACAGAGTTGCTGAGAGTGATGTGTTCTGTAGTTATTCTGGACAAAACATTTTAGTGGAGGTATACAGTCATATTTGAACAAGACAGAGTTGCTGAGAGTGATGTGTTCTGTAGTTATTCTGACTTTTTCAAAAATGAATCACATTATGTCACATGACCATGGTAGACAGCAGAGAGGACGGCGGCAGAGAGTGAAATCAGACCAGATATGTCAGAGTTCTCAGCAGCCCACAGCTGCAGCTGTCTGTGAGCCAGACTTGACTTAAGCAGCAGAGGATTCTCACATGTATGTAAAGCATGCTAGTGTGATGTGTCTGGACACAGTATAATTGGCTGGTTCAGGACCAGACGACCCTCTTCCACCTCCCCGTGTCCCTGCATTCAAAGCAGTGTCTGGCCCACTGATCCCACGACCCCTCAGGGAATACTCATCATGATCGGGATCTTTTCTTTTTTTTCAGCTCTGTCTGCTCTGACCATGAAGACTTTTACACATCAGGCCCACCTCATTATGCCCACCTCACCTCTGGCTCTGGGTTTCTGTTGCCCAATAAAAAATAATATATATAATAATAATAATAATTATATATATACTATAAATATTACATATTTCCTACATTTCCTAGACTTTTCTTAGAAACAAAACCCCCCCAAAAAGGACAGCGAGAAAGCATGGCTGCATATTCAAAGTCCTGTGAGGAAACGTGTAGCTTCAACACGGCTGACATTTACAGCCTCATATACTTGTTCAACAGCCTGGCTTTAACAGACTGTCCTGCTGTTTCTGTAAAGACTGGAGCTGCTCATAAAAGATGGGACTTGTTAAAGTCTCCGTGCTGCTGCTGCTGCTGCTGCTGCTGCTGCTGCTGCTGCTGCTGCAGATTCATCACTGACGACGGAAACAGCTAATTATGTTATGAGGACACAGAGGGCTGGCCAGGTCAGAGGTCAGGTGAAGTCCTGACCCCTGAGTGTGCCGCTGACCACAGGCCTGTTGATGAACTCCTGCACTCATGGACAGTGCATTTAGTGACCTGTGGTGTCACTGGTCAGACATCAGACGGATGTTCCTTTGACCTTATCAGCAGTGATCAGCTGACAAATCATTGACAACTGTGTCGTTATCATCACCGTTGATATTCAGCCAAAATATAACACATTACTATGAAAAGTCAGTTGAACATCATAGCCAACAAAAAAGCTTGACATTAGTTCATTAAAAGAAAATATAAATTTAAATTTAGCTACAAATAAAAGGTAAAAATTAGCATGAAATACCAGCTAAACAATATCACACTAGCTACACTGTAACACTACAGCTACTACAATACCTCAACACGAGGTCATTAGAACTACATGTTATCAACATCTCCAAGATTTAGCTAAAATGTAGCTGAGAAAAATGCTTAAAGGCGACAAAAGACCAAAACGTTAGAAAAGATAGTTGCTACAAGTTAGCCACAGACGATGTCAGCAAATTTATTCATAATGTCAAAAATGAAGCTAGACTCTTATCCAAGTCAAGGTGCTAAAGATGCTCATAGACATTAATAGGCCATTGTGATTGGCCGACCTCCACCTAGATCAGATTATATCAGATTAGATTAAATGATTGTTGTGGACCACGGTGTTTGTTTTCACCAGTGAAACAACATCAAATCTTCTTCACTTTCTAGAATTAGCGTGAAGAACGTTCTGAGTCAGATGGGTGTCATCATGGTGTGGTTGTTTCAGTGTGGACAGAGTCTCCTGACGCCGGCCTCCACGTGTCTGTGGGCTGAAGTGTGGATGAAACACAATCTCATCCTCAGTGGAGCGTGTCATCCAGACACCAGTCAGACAGAGTCACAGCAGCATGTCAGCACCGACATGAACACAGCACACCAAGGTAGCACTCGGATGAATGGCAGATATGTGACAACAAAACACTACATTATTTTACATTATTATTATTATTTTATTATTTTTCATACCATTTTCTTAAATCTTTTTTTTATCTTTTTTTTCTACTATTTTTTAAATTATCTCCCTCAGTGATAATTCAATTTAAGTTGTCCTTTGGGCTTATTGTACCAATTTTCTGCTATTTTCCCAATTGATGATTTTGAACTATATTTCCACTATTATTTTACTTAAGCACATTTAGCCAAATCTCAGCTAACATTTGAAGCTTTGTTCGTGAAAAATTTTGCAAAATTTGGCTAACCTTTAGCCTAATTATACCCTTTGGGACAAGGTCTTTTTTTATTGGTCTTAAGAAGGCAACATTTGGATTTTTATTTCTTTTTTTTTTTTTAAGATGTAGACATGTAGACACAAAGACACAAGGAAAGAGGTTTAGGTCTGAGAGTCTTATTAGCCTGAGAAAATCTGATGGAGTTGTAATCATGGCGTGTCAACATTAGAAAACTGGAGTTGAGTTTGTGTTAAGACTTCATGTTCAGAGCTTGAGTCTGACTTTATCTAAGCCGAGTCATAAATCCTGGGCTCCAGCAGCAGAGCCGCGCTGCTACGGATCGGACTATCTTGGCATTTTTTACTGCAGGTTTTGCAGAACCTAATTATGCATTTTATGGTGACATTAAAAGCCCCAGCCATGAACATTTCTTGGGCAATTTTACTTGATTTAAGGGCTCAAGTCTGCACAAATTTCTCACTCTGCGGTGTATAGCGCTAAATGTCACCTCACTTATTTATTTTTTTAATGTTTTTTTGACATATTCCTTGTGGAAAGCTGAATCGTCTGGTATTTCACCAGTGTATGATGATCAGGACTGTGTTTAGCAGGACTGGGCAGACACTGGTGGGCAGACATTACCAACCCCCCAGTCCAGTCTAGTCCAGTCCAACACACACACACACACACACACATAGTGACACTGCAGGGCAGTCATTTTTCACCCGGTCCTATAGGCCTGTGACAGGTCTGGGAGAGACTGTGTCTGTGTGTAAGGCAGACTGGCAGGACTGACATCTCCGTATAGCCACGTTAATTATGGGCATCTGCTTGGACGCCCCAGAGTGGGGGCCTTACCGGGTCCTTGGCTGTTGTCATGGGGACCGAGGAGAGCCGTTGGTGGGTTTTGGGGGGCGGACATAGACCCCGTTATTCTCCTGAGGGGTGGCCAGACATGACCTCCAATGACTCCACTCCTTTGATTTGGGTGGGAAAGAGCGAGCAGCCAGTCAGGACAGAGACACAGCTTTTCTGCTTCATTTTGAAGAAGTCGGGCTGCAGATCCTGGGAGGAGGATAAAATGGCAGCATATGGATGAGATTTTAATGCATTGAAACTGTAAAGTTCCCGGCAATGGTTTTGATTGAATAGAATGTAAAATGGTTATTTTGTTGAACCTGATTCAATTCAATTGTGCATATTTTGTGCCTGATATTTAAAGACAATCATGACTCTCTCACTGACACACACACACACACACAGACACACACACGAGTAGCAAGGGTCTAGTCTGCCTTTTTCCACCACTTTGCATATATTATCCCATGTCTGTGTTGTGTTTCCCACACCTCCGCAGTTGATGTCTCTTTTGTCAGAGTGAATAATGAAGACTGAGTGAAGCGACGTTTGCGGGCAGCTGCAGAGGCATTGACTGACCCCTGTTGGCCAACATGGGAACACCACATACTAAAACAAGGGAGCTGTACCCTCTAGTAGCAGGACAACCCCTAAAATAACCATTACAAAGGGAGTATATAAAGAAAAATATGATTCTGGTTCTTATCATTTACAAAAGATCCAGATGAATGTTCCCCACTCACGGGCATATAACTTTAACATGAAAATCCATAGAAAAAACATGACTTTAACTGGACGCCAAGGTACACACCAGAACACCACTAAATCTGCAGAAATAAACCGGGGAAGAATGGGTTTTACAACCATAGCTGTTTACAAAACCTTTGTCGTGTTCTGACGTCACTCAGTGCGTCTTTTTCATCATCTACAGCAGGGGTCTCCAATGCATTACTTGCAATCTTCTAGCAGCTCCTCCCTTTCCAAGTTTGTTTTCTGCAAAATGTCGCCGTCTACTGGTCAAAATAGCACAACCACCTGCACTCTACAAGTGTTTGACAATCGTCATGACAGATATAAACGCAGATTTCACGCTGTGCAGTAGCGAACTTAGATTTAGCTACACAGTTACACAGATATTAAACAGTGAAGAGATTAAATGTCGAGATATAAAGTTTTCTGAATTAATATTAGAGAATTAAAAATGGAGGTATCTATTTTGTTCATGTTCCACAAGGGCTCTGTAGCGGAGTGACACATTTTATGATAGGCTTTTATGAAGAAGTGCGGTCGGTTGTTTGGTTTTAGCTCCGCCAACAAGTTCCGGCCAAACGTTTGTCTGTACATTACGCCCTCTGTTGGCAAAATGGAGCAATTGCAGTTGATGGTTGCTTTTATTTCTTGTTGAGGGTAATAAGTATCATGTGACACCTACCGTGTCCACTAGATGGTGGTAAAATATCAGTGTCTGAATTGCCACAGCAGCACCCTGATGTTTCTTCCCTGTCTTCTCTTTGTGGTAAGTCACACTGCGTTTCATGTGGAATCTGAAACAGATTAAAACAGTTCTGCTCTTAGTACAAATATTTTACACACACCTTTACCCACTCTTCCATTTCAGAAACTTCTCATTGTCCTTTCCACACTTTGCTGACAGTATCATCATGTGACAGAGGTGTTCCGGAGGTTTTTGGGCCTGGCTCATCATTTCCTGTCTGTCAGCCTGACTCTCTGCTGTAATTGAATGTTACACAGAGGACGAGCAGCAGTCACTCCATGCCCTTTAAACACACTTCCTCCAAACCTTTATTACCACAGAAGTGACAGTGAGAAAGAGCGTTGTGGATGTGAGAGGCTGTTGCAGCTACATTGCATTATCGGAGACCATTAGCGGCACAGTGGTGTGCAGTGAGACGACAGAGGGCAAAAGGAGGCAACCTGATATTAGGACTGTGGAAAAGTCACACATGAGCACAGTTCATCTCCCTCCAGGCTGCTGAGCCTTCAATTAGAGAGACCATGCTTCACCCTGGAGGTTAGAGAGCAGAAGGGAGTGGATGTGTGTGTGGCTCTCTCTCTCTCTCTCTCTCTCTCTCTCTGTATGTGTGCAACATTCTAACCCAGTCTTTGATAAAAGATGAAAATGTAGAATGTTTTCCACATGCCTAAACACATAGGCACATACTGCAGTACTAAGACCTGCAACTAATAATTTGCTCCCTTCCTTTTCAGCAACAGTAGTCAGCACAGTTATTAAGCACACATTTCAAACCAGCTGCCCTTTCTGATTCACCTGTCCCTGCCAAGGGTCAGGGCTGGATTTGAACCCAAGACGTTCTACATTGCAGGCAAAGAATAAAGATTCTTCTGAGCAGAAAACCCTAATACTGAACGAAAAAAGCAAATCTCCTATTCTCCAGCACACTTGGGGAATGAAAAAAAACCCCGCTTTGTTGCACTGTGTCATTTAGCCTTTAGATGGCACTAATTACAAGGACAGAACAGAAAATGAGCATGGACATTTCTGCTGCTGAGGCATCCAGGGTTTGTGGGAGTCATTCACAACACGTGCCTTCAAAGATACACAGACAGACAGAGAGACAGAGACAGA